GCCATGGCACTCTGCCCAGGGGGACAGCTTGAGGCTCTGTCTCAAAAAAAAAAAAAAAAAGAAAAGAAAAGAAACCATACCACCTCTCTGAACTCCAGCTGCTGAGCATTGGCAGGGAAAGATAGGGAGATAACCCTGACCAGCTTCTGAAAAAGGAAGCAAATCAACTTGTTGAGCCCGTTAGACTTCTCCGGAGCTGACTCAAAGGCTCTCCTGAACTCAGGATTGTGGGTAACCTGGGGACTAGGAAGCCCAAGTCCCACACCTGTCTTCCCTCAGGTCCCAGGGAGCTAGCGCCCAAATGGACCTCCACATCTTCTGTAAAGGAATCCGGGCCTGGCAGGGTGGCAAATAGCCAACCTCCACTCCCAGTGTAAGTACACAGCCAAGGCCTGAGTCACTCCCAGCCTGGCCTGGGGCGGTGGGCAAACTGCCACAGCCTGGCCTTGTCCAAGGTCATCCCAGCCAGCCTTCTGCCTTAAGAGGGTCTGTCCATCAGGGCTAGGGAGGGTCTCCACGGTGGATGAGAGAGCCCAAGATCCACAGTTCTGGTTCACTTTCTTTTTTCCTTTTTCTATTTTTTTCTTTCTCTCTCTCTTTTTTTGAGACAGAGTCTCACTATGTCACCTTCAGTAGAGTACTGTGGTGTCACAGCTCACAGCAACCTCAAATTCTTGGGCTTAAGTGATTCTCTTGCCTCAGCCTCCCAAGTAGCTGGGACAACAGATGCCCACCACAATGCCCGGCTATTTTGTTGTCATTGCCATTGTTGTTTAGCAGGCCCAGGCCAGGTTTGAACCCATCAGCACCAATACATGTGGCCAGCGCTCTAGCCACTGAGCTATAGGTACAGAGCCCTGGTTCACTTTCTGACTCTAGCAAGGCTGTGTGACTTGGGAAAATTATTCCACTTTCTTAAGCATTCACAGAAGTTGGAGCATCAGATAAATATGGGAGCCAGAACTCAGTATGCAGATGGTATCTAAAGCCATGGGACTGGGTGAGATTGCTCAGGGAGTGAGCATAGCCTGGGAAAAGATCCACGACCTGTGCCCCAAAGGGTCACCGTGAGTAGGGGCCAGAGAGACAACTCACCTTTGCCCTCCCAGTGTTCCCTGCCCTTTACACTGCTTTGTCCTCATGAAAGAGACCCCTTCAGAGGTTATATATTTCATTGTCATTGACCATCTTTTCCACTAGAAGGTGAGCTCCCTGGGAAGGGTCTT